ATAATACACACATGGTCTTCGGTTCGATCATAAGCCACAGGATCACCAAGCTTTTATCACTCAGGAGTCGACAAACTTGGTGCCTGTCGCTCTTGCATTTCCAACTCTCTAACTTGTGAGTATTACTTTCCAGACAATCCGAAGAGTGAGCAGCTTGTATACTTCCTTAAGAGCGCCACGAGCCGCTTTTATATAACCTGTGGTCCCGTTGATCGTCGAGTAACTCGAGCCGGCGCCAGTAAATCTTCCACTTTCCCAGTTCCGTGCAAGAGTAGCTCGATGGGTTCTACTCCCTCTAGGGACTCGTCGAGAGTCATATTCTTCTTCCAGGCTCTTCGTGAAGAACACTGACCATTGGGTCGGTGGTCTTCCTGCAGTGCGCTTAACGTTCCGAGGAATCCAGTTATTAACAGCTCTTGGCCATCAGTTATCATTCATAAGCATTATCTGTCCGGCCCACCTTATCTCCGACTGTTTGGAGTACAGAACGGCATCTTTGATTTTTGATCGTTGACGCAGGTCGGAGTTTCGGATCCCGTCGCTTATTTGTGTGGTACGGGACACTCCTAGCATCGGCCTTTCGACTGCCGTGCAATAACGCAGAGTGATCTTTCATTCTGGTTAGACGCATACGTTAGGGCAGTAAGTACCGTTGAGTCGGTAAGGTGGGCACAGAGTCGTTCTTTGTTCCCCTCACTACATCCTCGATTCTCTTGGAAGCTGCTTAAGCCATTCCTTTCTTTCTAGTCAGTTCTGGAGTTAAGTCGTTCGTCATATTGATTTCCCGAACTTGTTAGACATAACTGGAGCATTCGGAAATATTCGTTCCGTTGACCGTGAATGGGGCATACGAAACCAGTCCGTTCTTTATGAACACCTTTTTTGTGAGATTTAGTATACGACCAATCGTCCCACAGGCTTTATCAAAGCCAGAAAGCATACGTTCTGCTTGGCTAATGTTTGTTGTTATAAGGACGTTGTCATCAGCAGGGCGAAGATGATGTAATTGCCGACCATGGACTTTCACTCCCACATTATTCCATTCCAATGTCCGCATGGCCTTCTGGAAGGTGAATAATTTTGGCGAGATGGTATCGTCTTACCTATCCCCTCTTTTGACATCGACGTTAATAACGTTGTAGAACGGTGATATCTGTTGTGAATTTTTTGTACAGCTCTCGAAGAATCTTTATGTACTGAGTACTGACTCTTTGACTATCAAGGAGGACTGCTTCTATCTCAATTGAATTAAAGGCTCTTAAGATTGACTTTCTATTAACCTCGGCATTGAAATATGAATGCTTCGTTTTCTTGTTCAGCAATCGCGAGGTTGTTAAACAGCATACATTTACTTCCATAGAAAACAATACAATACAACACTAGCTGACGTTTCGGCAGTATCGCCTTCTTCAGAGCCTGGTAGGGTATAGTGACAAGATTAGATAACACGAAATGAATTAGTAGCCGTCTAGCTAAAGTTTTTTTTATTTTGTGTGGTTTGTTTCCTACCCGTTTTCCTACTTTCTAGTGGATGATTCTGACCGTTCGATTTCGATTTACAGAATGAGCTCACCTTAGCATCTGAACATCTTAAGCTAGGAAGGATCTCAATATTTTACATTTTCTTTGAAAAATTTAGGCTTAATAGTGCGATACTACCAAGAATCGTTATCGCACTAACAAGCTAAACAGAGCAGGGAAAATATCCCCTCCGGCTCACAAGTTCGGCGACTATATGCGCTTAGAATTTAAGAGAGCCTCATTGAATGGTTATTTTAATAACTCGGCTCTTTAGGAAAGACCTTTCCCTGAAACGTTTTTAAGACATCAGAACCCTAACGATGGAGTTGACATAAAATTCCGCATGTTTTCGGACGGCTTCTTAAAACCCTTAATCACTACCGCGATAGAAAGTTTATCTCTAACCTTACAGCCGCACAAAATACGGCAAGCAGGAAATTAGAGAATTAATAAACTTGAAAACAACAAGATTGTCTGTTAGTGATAAGGGGGGAGAGTTCGTAGTTATTCCTCGCCAGATGGATATTGAGATAACAGAGGAACATCTTAGTGATGCTACTCTGCCCATCCTCTGAAAAGGAATATAAAAGTCAATACCGAAAGCTAAACAATCAATGGGTCAGTGTGGCAAAGGCTGCAGGTTTAAAATCATCGGTTATTTCGTACTTTAAAATCGGTAAACCAACATGCCTCGTCCTATACTTACTTATTAAAACACATAAGTTGGTATCACCTGATGATCATGCGTCAACCAATCCGTCATCATTTAACGTTGGACCGATCATCAGCTGTGTAGACGGTCCAACGGATAGAATAACCTGGTTTTTAAGCCTGATACTTACCCAGTTGCTTAACCACATTCCAGCTTACTTCACAAGCACCCAAATGTTCCTAGAACGTCTACGTAACGCGTCTCCTAATAACGCGTACCTGATGGAGTCTTTCGACGTTGCCGCGCTCTACACTAACATGTCGAATGACTGACTCTGCAATGTAAGCCATCTTCGAACTTTTTATCGAACATGAAGGAAGAATAAATCTGCATGGCTTCTCCATCCAGCAGCTAATGGCTCTCTCAAAGGAGTGCCTAAACTGCTCGATTTTCAGATGGTCTGGGAAATATTTCGCGCAAATAAGGTGGTTGGCAATGGGACAGCGACTGGCACTAATGCTCACCATTGTGTTTATGTCTAAGATAGAAGCCCCTGTTCTCGATCTCCGGCCACTACTCTACTGCAGATATGTAGATGATTGTTTTGTCGTCTTCTCTACGCAGGAGGAGATGGACAAATGCTTTGAATTATTGAACGAGCAGTCCGAGTACATAAAGTTCACCCGGGAGAAAGCGAGAAAAAACTGGCTTCCGTTTTTGGACGTTCAAATAAACCTATCAAGTAGCGGTTACTTAACAAAGTGGAACCGAAAGCCAAGTAACAAGAGCATCCTCGTTCATTTCCTTTCTTCCCACCCTTCACACACAAAGAGGGCGATTGTGAGAAACATGTTTCGAACAGCCACCTCTGTGTGCATTACTAGGGAACTAAAGGAAGAACCGCGCGACTTGGCTCGGTAAACAGCCATCTCCAATGGCTACGAAATAGTAACCCCACAAGATAAGTTTGGAAGGAGAGCGACGCCCCACACGAAACACTTGGCCAAAAGAAAGTCCCGTTCATGGTGCCTTTTATAAGCGATGAAGTAAGCGTAGCTATAAAACGATGCTTAAGAAGGGCAAATCTAGAGGAATCAGTAGTGATAGTTGAAATACCAGCGGCTACTCTACGTCGTCAATTAGTTCGTAACAGCCTGTATGACCGTCTGTGTGAAACAACAAATTGCGTAATTTGCCCCTACGGCAGGGACGGTGATTGCATGAGTTCAGGTACGACATACGTGATCTCGTGTAACGATTGCGGAGATGAATATATTGGCGTAACGGGCAGACCTTTGTGTATCCGTATAAAAGAACACCTAGATGGCAAACGAAAACTAAGACGAAGCACCCCACTAGGCACGCATAGGATACAAAAGCACAGCGGAGACGATTTTGAAGTAAAAGTCAATATCCTCGCATAGGAGACTAAAACACCAGTGCAAAACTTCAGGAGGCTTTTTGGATAGATGCCAAAAACCCTACGATGATTAGCTGGGAGGAATGCTCAAAGGTCATACGCGACTTGACCCCGTGCGTTCACATCAATTTCTAACGTGGGATAGTGCAGTCATCGACCATATGCGACTATAATCAGCTGTTCTAAACTTCCTCATGGAAGTCACGCAAAAAGCGGTGAGTTTTTCAAGAAGTTGTTGATCATGTAGTTACCATAGAGTTTTTAGTATTTTTGTATGTGTTACTGAAGCGTTTGGCCTAGTAGATTGTATATCAGCATACCCTTCCCGGCTTTGAAGAAGGCGATACTGCCGAAACGTCAGCTAGTGTTGTATTGTATTGTGTTTTTCTATGGAAGTAAACTAAAACCTTTCCGAAACCCTGCTTGCTGACACGGCTTTCCATCGTCCGGTGTTCTGTCAATTCTGTTTAGGATGATCGAGTGGAAAGTTTGTAGACGGCATACATAAAGCAAACAGATTGGGCGACAGTTGCCAACATCTTGGAGGTTGCTTTAACAATAGAACGGCCGTGCTGGTCTTCAACTGAGTAGGGACAGGTAACTTGTGAAAAACCGAGCCAGTGTGTTTCGGAGACTTGGCGGAAGGTCCTTCATGTGTCCTTGTCTTATCCTGTTCAGACTTGGTGCTGTTCGACTTTTCACCGACGAAATGGCATGTCGTATTTTGAAGAGAGAACCGGTGGCACAACATATCCATCCTCCCTTATTTCATATGACGGAAGGTGGACGTGGCTATTGAAGAGATCTGAGTAGTATTCGTGAATGATTTTCTCCATTGTTTTTCTGGACGCTGTAACTGTTCCGTCTGGGGGTCGGAGTTCAATCGTCTTGGTCTTGTAATTGGCGAAACTTCGGTGGGCGTTGTGAATGCTTTTCCCAGCCTCTGCAGCTTCGACCATTACTGCTGCTCTTCTCTCTTTAAGAACGTCTTTTATCGCCTGCCTCCATTGTTTTCTAAGTTCGGACGTTAGTTCGCGGTTGCCTGCAGCTCGTACAATTCCGCGCTAGCGTATCAGATCGAGTGTTTCTGGAGAGAGGCGTCTCTTGGTGACTTTCGAACTCTCAGCTTTAATAGCGCTAACGTAAAGGTGTTGAATGTGCCGATCGTATTCTTTGTCGATATTATCGACGACGGCATCTTCCCAACAGCCGACTAATGAATTGAATGTCCCATTTAATGATGGTTCTAGGACTTCGGTTTTTCAATTTAGCAGCTTTTTCTTCATTCCGCGAGAAGTAAAATCTTGCACGAAAAAGACGGTGATGTAAAATTTAAAAGAATATGTAAAAATTTTAGCACAACAGCTACATTGGTTAGATAAAACCCTCTATTTACTGCGATGTGATCTATTTCGTTACGGAACTCTCCATTGGGAGACTCTCACGTCCAGCGTTGAGGTTGGGGCTTTTGGAACTGCGAGTTACCATAGGTGGTCTTGGTGCCATGATAAACTCAGAAAACCGCTCACCCTCTTCGTTACATTCCAATCCATAGTTCGCCCCAATGTGACGTTCTTCAGACGTTCTTCTTGGTCCAATTATAGCATTAAAATCACCAATGATGACCTTGAAGAATGTATGGTCTTCTATGTAAAACTTCTGCAAATCCATATGGAACGTTTCGACTTTTTCTTCGTCATAGTTTGATGTCGGCGTGTTGACGACGAAGATTTCCAAGCCGGCATTGATCTTTTTAGTCGTAAACACCCGATTCGGGTTGTAAGCTGTTCGAATAAATCGATGTTCATGGGCCAACTCGTGTTGACGACAACGCCGACGCCGCCGACTCCTGCGCTGTTGCATGTTCCGAGGAACAGTTCTTCTCCTGTGTCATAGACGGTCATAGAGGGCGTTGAATGGGTGGCGTCGTCTGGTCTCGGCCAGTCCGGTGACATAGTACCTTATCCTTCTTGCTTGCTCGGGCAAGTCCTCTATCGAGGACTCGGATGCAAGTGTACGTGCATTGTAGGTACAGATCGTCACCATATTTTTTTGTAATCGAGGTAGCTTCAATTAGCCGTGAGATTTTTGCGGCCTATTCGCACTCGTCCAACCCAACGCTGTGAAATTGGAGCTCTTTTGGTGTTAGAGGAATGAGGCCCGTTTTTTACTGTGTTTGGAATTTAGATACCCACGTATAGGTTGCTGGGCCCTGAATGTGTTGACTGGGTGTACTCACGGGTAGCTTGCGAGACTCCCAAAGTGGACATGGAGCTTATTTGCTGGAGGCGAGTCCTAATCGCCTCCCATATACCTCCCTGTCACTTGATTGCAGGCTTTTGGCCGAATTTACTCGTAGAATACAATCCCCATAAGCGAGAACGCACCCACACACGCATGCATAAATATGTTTAGCAAATACAGAAAGTACGTGCCAAATCGGCGCAACAGAAACAGGGAGTCCATTCCCTGGATTCACCTCTGTCTCAGGTAAGCAAAGGTCGCTTTTGGTCCGCGATTAACTCCCTATCCACCTGGGAACGCTATGTAGCTTCGAGACTACTTGGCTGAGGATCCCTCATGTGAGGGAGATCTATAGATGCTGTTATATATTAAAATTAATATCTGTGGAATGGTAGTGCAAGCTTTCTTCTATAGAACTGCTAACTTCCCAACTTCTAAAGCAAATGTCGAAAGTTATCGAACAGCTGGTAGTGCGGAGCTTTAATTTTCTGGCGGAATTCGTCGTTTTCTAAATTACACTCACAATAATGAATTTTGAGCACTGCTTAGAATATCATTAAATGCTTAGAACACGATGCAGGATCTTGGACGTGCTTTCTTTTACTACACACAAACATGGATATGATCCAGGAAGATGGCAGCATAGGCAAAAAATCATAGCGGATACGTAGAAGCCAAGAAGCCAGAGATACTCGAAAAATATGTGAGGTAACCGAACAATGGAACGAGAACTCAAGAAACCAGTGTGTCGCGCCTCCTGAGTGCGTGGACGGACGGTGCGTCTTGATTTCAATGCGCATTTCACTTGCGCTCCTGTGACACGCGGTTGTAAAAATGATATATCTGATTGGGAAATACAACACGTCTGTAAAAATCGGACAACCTATTCTAATTTATGATCTCTGTAATGCCATCCGCTTTTCCCTGATGTCACCCTCGTAAGGGATTTGATAATAAAACACTAACATCATGAATATCTAATGTCGCTGCTCTCATCGGCTAACATTCTGGCTATCAAATTTATTGTTAGCAAAAAAGGATAAAATTTTAGAGATAAAGCACTATTCTGGCAAAATAATATTCTCAGCTTATAAATATGTGAGATTAGAAAATAAAGAGCTCACAATTACCAACTGTGTTTAATTTGATTAATTTTGTTAAAGTTTATCTTCAGCTAAACATAACAAATCTCACACGTTGTTTAGTCGGCAAGTTCTTTCAAAACAAAATCGATCTGATCTGCAGGCAAATGTATTATATTCACATAATAATGAAGAATGAACGAAGAAATGCCTAGAAGGCTAAGCGGCACAGCGAAAGGTTTTGATTGCATTTTAGCCAAAAAATAATGCTATTCAGAAACATGTACAAAACAGACGGCGAATCGCTGGAGTGTAAACAGTTCACGTGCTTTCTGGAATTTCGTTAAGCTTGGCTGCCATTCGCTCTTTTAGACTGAAATGTTGTTTTGACGAAGAACACTGTACCTCGTAAAAAGGTGACATTATGCGAAATTCAACAAGAGGCTCCTTCAGACGCAAAAAGATTTTCAGACATATCTCTCAAGAGTTTTAAATCTTTTTTTCCTATGTCTTCGTGTGTCTCATTATTATTACTGATTCTTCATACACATTAGCCTCCTGTTAAAACCAGGCCTGTCAGAATGCAACGTTCTTAGTACTGGAAAACCACATAAACACGATTTTATTGTACAGCAAACCGAGGTCTACAAGTTTTTCTCCACTTTACTAATGGTTTCTATTTCATAAGGTCATTAGCAAAGATCATCATTTTCGTTGAATACATGAAGATTTCTTGCCATTTGCAAAACAACTTCAGAGCAATAGTTTCACCATTCTTCAAAGAAATCTCCAACGTTAGGGTGGCTCTAGTCCCTTTCTTGACGCCGAACTGTGTTGTACATGGAATGCTCAAGAGGAGAACTAGCACATTCCTATCAAGCAAAACCCGCCATATCATCGTCGGAACGCGATTCCGTGAAGAAGTACTGATGGCGCGGCCTCTCTCTTAGATTTATTTGCTAACATTGCTCTTTTTTATTCTCTTTGTTGAACCACTGTTCCTAAAAAACACCCTTACCACCAATTTCCAGGCACTTGCATGTGGACCTATTCACAGCGAAATATATGAACACTTCAAAAGACCGACTTCTATAAAGTTCGGCATAGATAGTTGATATTTTATTTATATGATCTTATAAACAGACCTTTTTAGGTGGTGCGAGGTTGGTGTAAGTCCTCGTTGTCGTTGTCACTGTTGTTGGTGTTGTTGGTCGATGGCTGACGATTCAGCGACTTTGTCTTCCTCACAGCCTGCACGTATTTGATATAAGCATACTTTAATTATTTGGTGGAAAAAAGCCTAACGCATTAATGAGGATCAAAATTTTAAGTAGACGCCATATTGATTAGAAAAGCTACTTACCGTGATGCAACGAGTAGGGCTGGCTCACCATTGTTCACGTGGGGTCGCTAGCAAGACACACTCCGGGGTCAAAATATCATTTTGAATAGGGCGCCAGGTAACGTGTGATAGTGAGGCATTCGTCTTTCCGGTTCATCTTTGGATTTTTGAAATTTATCCAAAACGCCTCAAGAGTTTTGCGCTTTGATGTTTTCGATTCCTGCACTAGGATCCGGACAGTCACTTCAAAATCGTCGTCGTTGTGCTTTTGTGCCCTATGCGTACCTAGAGGGGTGTTTAGACGGATTTTAGCTTTTCCATCTAGACGTTCTTTTATGCAGACACAAAATGGTCTACCCGTTCCACAATATATTCCTCACCGCATGCGTTACATGAGGTCAAGAATATTATACCTGAACTCACGCATTCCCCATCTTTCCCGTTAGGACAGATCGTACAGTTTTCTGAGCTGCGCAAACGATCATAGAGACAGTTGTGAATTAACTAAAAACGTACAGTAATAGGTGGGATGTCACTAATTGTTACATAATGTTCAAGACCACTTTATCTTAAGCATCTCTTAAGGGGGCATTTTACCATTTCAACGTGTCGAATGACTCCGCAATGCAAACTATTCTCGAGTTGCTCTTAAAGCACGAAAAGGAAATAAAAATGCACGACTTGTCGATTGCGCAGCTAGTTACTCTCTTAAAACAGTGTCTTAGTTCCTCAAACTTAGTAGTAGTATGAAAAATATTTTGCCACAATTATAAGGTTGGCCATGAGACAGAGTTTAGCACCAGGCCTTGCCGTCACCTTCATGTCTAAGGTGAAAGATCTAGTTCTCGATCACCGACCCTTACTCTGCTGTCGATACACAGATCGTCTGTTCCACACGAGAACAGATGGATGAGTGCTATGAATTGTCAAACCGTCAGTCGGAGTATATAAAATTTACACGAGAAAAACCAGCCGAAAACTGGCTTCCATTCCTAAACATCCAAATAAAGCTCTCAAAAAGTGGCTATATAACAAAATGGCATCGTAAGCTAAGTAGCAACAATATACTAGTTCACTACTTCTCCTCTTATCCTTCACACATGAAAAAAGCGCTTATCAAAAAAACATGTACCATACGGCTAAAAATGTGTGCAGAGGAGAAGACGAAAGAAAGGAATCGCAAAACCTGGCACGAAAAATAGCCGTTTCCGATGGCTACGAAGTAGATGCCGCGCCGGTTAGACAAAACCGTAGTGCAGTTCTCCAGAATGATGTTTCGCAAGTAAGTAAAATCCCTTTTAAGCTACTCTTCATATCAAACGAAGTAAGTTTCGCCATTAAGAGCTGCTTTAAAAAAAGTGGTCTGGAAAATTATGTAACGATTATTGACATCCCACCCAATACCCTACGCCGCCAGTTAGTTCGAAATCGTCTCTATGATCGTTTGTGCAGCTCTGAAAACTGTATGATCTGTCCTAACGGGAGAGACGGGGATTGTGTGAGTTCAAGTATAATATTCTTGATCTCATGTAACGTATGCGGCGAGGAATATATCGGGGAAACGGGTAGACCACTTTGTGTCCGCATAAAAGAACATCTAGATGGAAAAGCTAAAATCAATCTAAACACTCCTCTAGGTACGCATAGGGCACAAATGCACAACGGCGATGATTTTGAAGTGACTGTGCGGATCCTAGCGCAGGAATCGAAAACATCAACGCGCAAAACTCTTGAGGCGTTTTGGATAAATTTCAAAAAGCCAAAGAAGAACCGGAAGGACGAATGCCTCACTATCACGCGTGACCTGGCGTCCTATTTCAAAGTGATATTTTGACTCCGGGGTGTGTCTTGCTCGCGACCTCACGTAAACAACGCGTTGGCCAGTCTGATTCGTAACATCACGGTGGGTAGCCTTTCTATTCAATATAGCGTTCATTTTTTCGATCTTTATTAATACTTTAGCTTTTTCCACCGAATAATTAAAGTGTTCTATTATAAAATACTTGTAGGCTCTGAGGAAGGCGAAATCGCTCTATCGTCAGCCATCGACTAACAACAGCAACAACAACGACAACGACAACGAAGACCTGTACCAACCTCTCATCAGCTAAGCAAGATCTATGTTATACCTTTTTATTTTCTGCCTACTATAATTTCGCTTAGTACCCTGCCGCGAAATTATAGTAGGCAGAAAATAAAAGGGTATAACATTGTGATTTTAACTACAGCCGCAGCTTAACTGTGTTCTATGCCGATTTGCGCTTCCCAGATCAACCCCGCTGACGGATGATTGCTGGTGGCAAGAGATCGATAGAACTAGCTGAGCGACAGGAGAAAGGAAGGACCCGCATAGTGTGGTGGTGAACGCGTTACTACCCGGAAAGGACAGTAGTGCGTTCGTTCCCCACCACAGACACCTGCGGTCCAGAGTTTTAAGCAAGATCAGTTTATAAGATCGTATGAATGAATGTATGTGTAAATTAAGGAAACAGAAAAAGTAAGGGTGAACGAAGTGCTGGGTGTTATGGGGGAAAGCGTAGTGCGAAGCGTCACAGAATTTGCAGCCGTTCGAACTTCTATGGACATTTCCTTTCTTCCATAAAAATTCGTTTTCGATGAGGAGAAAAGATCGTCGATGGACATAGAGGTCACCTAACATCTTTACCCACGCAGGGATCACCCACATAGGTTCATAGAATCCGACAAATTTTGTAAAGAATTTGGGCGAATCTTGCAAATTGTTTTCATAATATCATATCGAGGTACATTAAATAAGAAACGTACGCATCTCTATCGCTTTTGTATCTCATTATAACGTACACCATGCCGACAAGGCACAGAATAAACAACAACCATGTGGTTGCAATGAATGCTTTGAGCCTCGCCTATAAAGGAAGATTATCCAGAACGTTCCTATAATTAGATATTCAAAATGTCTCAGAATCAATTTCTTGGAAAGTAAAAGACGGCAGTGAAAGTAGTTCTTAGTGTATCCTTAAAAAACAACACACCAGGTTCGGAGGTTGTGTCGGCTGCCCTTTCGTGAGCATTTTCTGGTCCTCTTTACGAATCTTTTCTCTGCTCTCTGCAAATAGTTCATGTTTGTCTTTCATACCAGTTGTAATATTATCAAAATTCAAGAAGCTTTTAAGAAATACAAAACTGATTTTTGACACAGTGGTAATTTGAAAGTAAAACGCACTGCCTTTTTCCACGTTGGTGACACTGAAATAAAATGAAGCTAAGATATAGATCACAAAAGCAGAAGAGATTATACAAATATCCTAACTTTAAGTGAGGAAAGTGAGGAAACCGAGTACTGTCCTTACAATGACTCGCGATGGCCTACCGATCTATCGACCCAGTACTACTATTCCCCGAGAAAAACCTGGCAACAATTTGCCGCCGCATAGGGATTAGTGAGCTTTCGGCGCAGGATCAATCTCATGAGCATTGCAGGGTGCTTCGAACCACTGCGCTAAACGTGCCCCACTCGAATGTAATTACCCAAGAAGTTGATATCAACATATATCAGGTGATTTCTACCACACCTAAGATGAAACTTAATCTCTGCTTGCTTGCAGATTTGCTAATGCTCGTACATAATCAAACATATGGCTGCAAGTGCGCATTGAAAAATGGGATTTTTTTCGATAGCAGGCAATTTTTTGATAAACGAAGGAGTTGGTGGATTTGGAAGCACTTTTAAAGAAGTGTTCCACAATTTTTATGAGCGATATACGTGAATCACGAAGAACTATGGCGACGATCTCTACCTACAACGCACGTACACTTGCATCTGAGTCCTCGATAGAGGACTTGCCCAAGCAAGCAAGAAGGATAAGCTACTACGTCACCGACCTGGCCGAAAGGAGACGACGCCACCCATTCAACGCCCTCTATGACCGTCTATAACACAGGAGAAGAACTGTTCCTCGGAACATGCAACAGTGCAGGAGTCGGCGTTGCCGTCAACACGAGTTCGCCCATGAACATCGATTTATTCGAACAGCTTACAACCCGAATTGGGTGTTTACAACTAAAAAAATCAATGCCAGCTTTGACAATCTTCGTCGTCAACACGCCGACATCAAATTATGACGAAGAAGAAATCGAAGCATTCCATATGGATTTGCAGAAGTTCTACATAGAAGACCATACATTCTTCAAGGTTATCATTGGGGATTTTAATGCTAAAATTGGACCAAGAAGAACGTCTGAGGAACGTCACATTAGGGCGAACTATGGATTGGAATGTAACGAAGAGGGTGGGCGGTTTTCTGAGTTTACAATGGCGACCAAGACCACCCATGGTAACTCGCAGTTCCAAAAGCCCTACTCTCAACGCTGGACGTGAGAGTCTCCCAATGGAGAGTTCCGTAACGAAATAGACCACATCGTAGTAAATAGAGGGTTTTATCTAACCGATGTAGCTGTTTTCCCAAAATTCTACACGAGATCAGACCACCGTCTCCTTCGTGCAAGACTTTATTTCTCGCGGAAAGAAGAAAAAGCCGACAATTCAAAAACCGAAGTCCTAGAACCATCGTAAACTGGGGCTTATTCAATTCATTAGTCGGCTGTTGGGAAGATGCCGACGTCGATAACACCGACGAAGAATACGATCGGCTCAATCAACATCTTCACGTTAGCGCTATTAAAGCTGAGAGTTCGAAAGCCACCAGGTGACGTCTCTCTCCAGAAACACTCGATCTGAAACGCTAGCGTGGAATCGTACGAGCTGCAGGCAACCGCGAACTAACGTCCGAACTTGCAAAACAATGCAGACAGGCGATAAAAGAGGATCTTAAAGAGAGAAGAGCAGCAGTAATGGTCGAAGTGGCAGAGGCTGGGAAAAGCATTCACAAAGTCCACCGAAGTTTCGCCAATTACAGCACAAGATGATCGTACTCCGATGCTCAGATGGAACAGTTACAGCCTCCAAAAAAGCAATAGAGGATAATTCACGAATACTACTCAGATCTCTTCGTTAACCACGTCCTCCTCTCGTCGTATGAAATAAAGGATGATGGATATGTTGTGCCACCAGTTCTTGCTTCCGAAATCCGACATGCCAATTCGTCGATGAAAAATCGAGCAGCACTAGTTCCAGATAGGGCAAGATCGGAACACCTGAAGAACCTTTCGCCTCGTGAACACACTGGCTCGGCTCTTTAAGGGCTAACTGTCTGAATGCATGGTTTCTACTCAGTGGAAGACAGGCAATATAGTGTGAATGTTCAAAAAGGGTGACCTACACGATATCGGCAACTATCGCCCAATCTGCTTGCTGTCTGTTGTTTACAAACTTTTCACTCGAGTCATCCTAAGCAGGCTTGACAAAACACTATAGGAAGGAGAGCTATGTGAGCAAGCAGGATTTCAAAAAGAATTCAGTACAATAGACCACATTCACACAGTAACACAGCTCGTTGAAGCATCGCGAGAGTACAAAGGACCGCAAGGAATATTAACGGATAACAAAGGATATTAACGTTGACGTCAAAAGGGGAGTTAGGCATGGAGATACAATCTCGCCAAAATTATTTACCGCCGCCCTCTAAAACGTTATGCGAACATTGGAATGGGATAATATGGGAGTGAAAGTCGATAGTCGGCAGTTACATCATCTTCGCTTTTCTGATGACATCGTACTTATAACACCAGACATTAGCCAAGCGGAACGTATGCTTGCCGACTTTGATAAAGCTTGTGGAAAAATTGGTCTTCGACTAAATCTAACAGAAACGATATTAATGAGGAACGAATTGGTTTCGTATGCCCCATCCACGGTCAACGGAACGATTATTGCTCCTCGGAAAATCAATATGCTCAACGATTAAGCTCCAGAGGTGAGCAGAAGGAAACGACTTGGGGGCTTTAAAGGGCATCGAGGATTTAGTGAAGAAAAAAAAGAACACCCGATTCCATGCCCACCTTTTCGACTCAACGGTACTTACTTCCCAAACGTGTGCGTCAGAGACCTGGTTGCTACGTACATTGGATGAAAGATCACTCAGCGTTATTGCACGCGGAATCGAAAAGACGATGCTAGGAGTATCCCGTTCCACACAATTAAGGGATGGGATCCGAAGCTCCGACTTGCGTCAACGATCAAAAACCAAAGACGCCGTTCTGAACGCCAAACAGTCGGAGATACGGTGGGCCGGATACGTAATGCGTTTGAATAACAACCAATGGACAAAAGCCGTTAGTGACTGGATTCCTCGGGATGTTAAACGCACTGCAGGTAGACCACCGACTCGATGGTCAGAGTTCTTTACGAAAAGCCTAGATGAAAGATATGATGCTAGACGAGTCCCTAGAGCGAGCAGAACCCACTGAGCTACTCTTGCACGGGACAGGGAAAAATGGAAGATTTACTGGCGTCCGCTCCAGTCACTCGACGAACAACGGAGCTACAGGTGATACAGGTGACAGGTGATATACAAGCCACTATTTGTTCCATTCAAGCTTTTATACTAATGTCGCAATGCATCTTTTTTGTGCGATTATTATCGTCCCTTGTGTCTTCCCCCAATTTGCTTTTCCTATTGTGTTGTTTGTTCACTAATGTCGGATTTGCAGTTTTATTTTGCCCTAAATAGTTTTAGCCGTAGTGTTTCTTGAATGCTATATAAAATCTTATTTTATGGAATTTCGTATTTGTGATAAAAATTGTGTGTTTGAAAAATTTGAAAGCTTCAATTTCGCGTTTCGAAAAGCTGGTTAGGACAGGTTTATTTCTGCAAGTTTGAACTCGGAAGTGCACAGCGGTAATGTCGCGAAAGATAATAAGGTGTGGGCTGGGAAATTGTTAACGGAAGCAAAGTCCAACGTCGGGTAAGATAATTTCGTTTCGTTGAAATCAACCTTTAGGATGAGGGAGATTGCAAACATCCATCCGCTTCTGATAGAAATGCATTAGCGCTTTGCTGTAATGATAATCACGACCAAATGTTCAGGATCTTACAAAAAAAATCGGCTTTACCATCTCATTTGCTGCGGAGCTTTTAAATCTAAAATAACTGCAAAATCGAAGAAGTTCGACAAACGGATCCTCTCTGATAACCTGAGATGACCTGCTTAGTGGTCGGGCCATTGTGAACCTTCTTAGCTAAGCTACCAAGGCGAAAACTGTATCAAAAGAAGCTCGTGCTGATCGTTTCGTGGTTTTCCGCTAGTATACTCTACTAAAGTTTTCTGAGAAATACGAGTAAGAGTTTAATGACACAGTTTATTTACTAACGGCTGACGGTTTGGGCGGTTTCGACTCCTTCAGAGCCTAAAGATTTCAAGCTGAAACGCATTTTACTCAGCCAAGTACCTTCATAACTTAAGCAGAAAGATAAGTTGGCAAAACGGATAGAATACTCTGGATCCATAAAAAGGAGCACCTAGTTGGAAACTTAAAGTCAGATAAAACATTGCACTAGGCAAGTGCAGGGCTAGAAAGTATGACGGAGAAGATGCCGAAGCAAAAGTCTATCCTCGCACAGGAATCTAGAACGTCAACGCATAAAACTTCTGAAGCATTTTGCATAAATTCCATAAATCCAAAAGTGAACCGCACTGAGGGAGTGCCATTCTTCACTCATTTAGGACTCTATGGAGCTGCTCTCCAACAACAGCTGAGAGATTTATGATAAACCAGACGGTGAGTGTTGTTTCTTATGCAAATAAAAATTTATGCGTTAAGTTTTGTCAGCTGAGGTTATGACAGTGTATGGTTGAGTAAATTGCATGTCCATTTGGCCTTTTCAGGCCGTGAAGATTGAGGAGCCGAAACGCAGTCAGCGCTGAGGTGCGCTTATATTTACGAGAATGGAAGCTTGAAATTGATTGTGACTTCCTACACCAAATGAGTTTGAGGCCCGTTCTTGTTTCTTTTTCTAGGCACTGAATGGAAATGATTGTCAGCTGACGAACTTCTCGAAGAGACCTTAACGTCACTTCTAATACTCATGCGCTTTTCGAGGCTATGAGGTTTCTCAGAAATTACATATTCCGGTATCACTTTTACGAACTACGTTTTCTTATCCCATTCGCGTCACCTCTTCAGTAGTTTACCACCTCATCGCTTTAGAAGATCCTCCCGTTCTAATGAGTTAGCGTTTCTATGCCAGTGAGTTCGGTATTTCAACAGCAATGGTGAAAGAAAAACTATGCCAAAACAGAGCTCAATGAGCCACCACTGGCTACATGCATGTGGAAGTGTGGAAATCAAGATCCATTTACAAAGAATCTGAAGCTTTTTATGACTCTATAATCTTTCTTTTATCAGTTCTGACCTACCGCGTAGTTGGAAAGGCATCTTCACCTTGCAGTTGCTGCTCGAATCATTCAATAAATGATACGGTACAGGTGACACAGGTGAGGTTAATCGTTTGAACTCAGCGAAAATCATACACCAACACGCTTCCAACTACAGAGTAATCCGTAAATTTGTCTATCAGATTAACATTTTTAATTTGGAAGGTTTCTCGTTCTTAAGACCTTCTTTGGTAGATGTTTTTATGGCAAAACAGTGAGTGACAGGTGATGGACTATTGTCGAAAGTAACTCTGCCGCTGACACTATTACATTCCAAGGTTCATGAAACTAACCCTTTAAATTGATCTTATTACTTCCAAGTATAGGCTTGTTCAAAAAAAGACGCATAAAGCACTCACTTATCTAAACTACTGGCGGTCGGTAGATTTCCTTGCTCCGGTAAGGGAGGCAGATTGAAGATCAGGGCATCATTTGCACTTATCATTATTAAAACTTCTGAATCCAGTTTTTGAGTGCATTAATACTGAGTTTAATTGAAGGTTGGCTCAATAACAGTACCAGTTTTCGAATTTACGCATGGATCCACTAGACGACTTAAGAACTGGAGAACATCAACTGATAGGACATGGTATAAAACGAGTTTATATACTTCCAGCTAACACTGTTATGGAAGGCCAGCATCTGTATCAAAAGCAAATAATGAATTAAAAGATATGCCTTTAGCTTATCGAAATCTTGATGATAGCGGTTCAATATCTGCTTTCTACAGTTTTGCCTAGAGGTTTCATGTCTACAGTTTGAACTAACCTTTAAGTTATTACTCTCTCGAATACTAAAAAATAGCCATCTTTCACTTTTTCTGCGGGCCCCAGCATAATTTCCACTCTCCGGAGGTTTGCTGGTTAAGTCGTTGTGGTTCCCTGGAGACTCGAAGACAGCTTGCCCGAATTCCGCCCCAGGTCGCCACCACCACAGAAAGTCGCAGGATGGTGGACCCTGGTACTGGCCTACTCTTAGCTGAGCTTTCTGATGGAAACTCTGGACTCGTTCTCAGCTTAGCAGACCCCGCCGGGGGATGAATCCCCGTCTGCACATCGCAGCCCAACACCCAGGAAAACATCGCAGCCACGACGAGGCGGTAAACCGCCGAGGGTTTCGAGTTAAGTAGTTGACAAATTCTTTATAGCCATGCAGCTATTCGCATGTGCTGAGCTAACAACTAGATAGGCTAGAAAATACGAAGATAATGTATATTTTGCAAAACTGCGGTGATAAAGTCATTAGAAGCAAGGCGAAGTTTGCCTCCTACCGTTTTTCTCCGAGTTGCGTTCAATGGTATTTTTAGCCAAATCCCACACGTGTTTAAATTGTTGAGCTTACATGTTGTTGATAAACGCATTTATTTCGCGTAAGGTTTCAACGTCTTCGCCTTCATCGGAGCGTATGATCCGAGCAGGTAGTCCCATATCCCATATTTTCCGCTAAAGATTTAAGAACACAAAGAAGCTTGAGAAAAGCATGAGGAAATGATCACCAAAAGTGTATGCAAATATTAACAAGTCGAGATTAAGAAATCATGCTTATGTCAAAAGGTTATTGCTGATAGGTTGCGTTTTATGTTAAATTGTGACAAAAAAGAACAATACTGTGAATACGTAATGATTGATCATGAAAATTATCGTGAAGTGATTTCTGTGGTGGTTCTATCCACAACTTAATATATTTTCCTCAAGTTCGAAGTCTATTCTAGCACAATGCGGCAATGTACCCGTAAGTGCTCATCGCCTCTAAGGTAGATAAGGAAGTGCTTTCACAGGTAAAACTAGTGTTAGGTTCTTCGGAAATAAATGGGAGCTTTAAAAAATTATTGTTTTAATGCATTTTTATCAATAAAATATTCCCTGTACCTCGCATTATTACATATCATTAAATGGATAATTATGGTTTTTAACCATGTTTTTATATTCTGTCGGTGGCTAAATTTTTTTTACCAATTTTGAATTTTGCATTTTTTTAGATGTCAAAAACGAATTTTCGTAAAATTTCCTTCTATGAGTTCAAACTCGGTCGTAGTGCAGCAAAGACGGCTTGAAACAATAATGAAGTTTGGGATTAAGGCGGTTTTTGAATCAACAGTGCGA